CCCCCCCAAAAAAAAAAGAAAAAAAAAAGAAAAAAAAAAAGAACATTGAAAACTACACCCCGCCATTGTTTTTGTCTTCTGTGCATGTGGAGAGTAGCGGAGCGAGGCCCTATGTGAAAGTTCCTAGGCGGATCGGCAGGGGTTGGTAGTAACTCCGGATGAATAGTGGACATGATCAAGTAGTGCTGATGGCTGGTTTCCTTTCTGTGGTTTTGATTCGTTTTCTTTGGTAGTTTCGGTTTGCGCATGGTTTCTTCAGGGTCGGCGGAATTTGGGTCACTAAAATATTAGGGTTGTCATGACTGTTGTGATTATTCCTGGTGATGAACTCAGATTTTTTGCTGATAATTTTTGTTGATTTTTCAGTGGTAGGAGCTGTGGAGTTGGCTGTGGGGTGAAATCTGGTGGTGCCTTGCCTGCGGAATTTAAGTCACTAAATGTTGTGATTAGAGTNTTTTTCAGTGGTAGGAGCTGTGGAGTTGGCTGTGGGGTGAAATCTGGTGGTGCCTTGCCTGCGGAATTTAAGTCACTAAATGTTGTGATTAGAGTTTCTTGGTGATGAACTTAGATTTTGCTGATAATTTTCATTGGTTTTTCAGTGGTAGGAGCTGTGGAGTTGGCTGTGGGGTAAAATCTTGTGGTGCTGTCGATGTGCTTCGCCGGTGATGCCTTGCCCGCTGAGGGCCCCACCTAATTTTGTAAGGGACGCTCGCTGAGGGCCGCACCTAATTTTGTAAGGGACGCGGGCCCGGTTCCCGGCTTTTATAAAGACTTGACCATTTTTTTATTTTTTATTTTTTTTAAAAGAAAGTTCCCCGCCTTCTTCAGTTTTGATGTAAGAAATGAATTTTGAATTTTGATTTTGAGAGGAAAAGACAGAATCTCCCTAGTTTTTAACAGCAGACTGAAAAAGCCACCTACAGACGCCCAATCATTCGGGATAACGCTTGCATCCTCTGTCTTACCGCGGCTGCTGGCACAGAGTTAGCCGATGCTTATTCTTCAGATACCATCATGATTTCGTCTCTGAGGGCCTAGTTGCACTACTCGCCATCCGTCACATTTCGTGGCGGATGCATGGAGAGTGAAAAAACTGAGAATCACGTAGAACTCGAGTCCTGGTTGCACTTACTCGCCATTATATTTCTTCTACAGAGAAGTCAATTTTTTTTGTCTACCTGATGTCGACTCGTGAAGCCCTGCACTCTCCAGAAAGCTGTTTTGTGGAGAGGTCCGAGGACCACTGTCCACAAACCGAGGCGGGGAAACCGAATTCACTCTCCACAACTTGTGTCGACAGTGTGGCGAGCCGTCTTACACATTTTGCATTCTTCAAGTTTGGCGAGTAAGTTCAACCAGGCACCTACTCGCCAAACTTGGCCTATGGAGAGTAGTGCAACTAGGCCCTGAAAAAAGGAGTTTATTGCTGGCACAGAGTTAGGGCCTCGTCGCACCACAGTAGAAAGGCGAAAAAATTCGACAGCAAATCAGAACAAATTCGACAACCTCTATTCGACAGTTTGCCCCCCTTTTAGCCACACAGCACTGTAGAGTGCACGCACTTGTGAATGCAAGATGGAGAAAGACGAACGTGCCAGAGGGTACCACAAGCATTAGTCCATCCCGACCTTACCCCCCCTCACCGAATTTCGGAGAGAAGTAGACGGCGCAGCAGAGTGTAGAAAGCATGGGAGTAGCAGGCTGGGGATTCAACAACTTTCGACAGGAGCTGTCCAGAAGCATGCTCTGACAACTGGAGAATCTTTTTCCCTCCGACTTCGACAGCCTGTGTGGCGAAGAGAAAATGTCGAAAATTGCATTTTCGACAGTGGTGCGGCGAGGCCCTTAGCCGATGCTTATTCTTCAGATACAGTCATGATTTCGTCTCTGAAAAAAGGAGTTTACGACCCGTAGGCCTTCTACCTCCACGTGGCATTGTTTCGTAAGGCTTTCGCCCATTCTGGAAAATTCCCCACTGCTGCGTCCCGTAGGAGTCTGGGCGGTGTCTCAGTCCCAGTGTACCTGAGCATCTTCGCACCAGTCACGAAATCTGCAAAATGATCATCAATCTCCGTCTAAAAATGGGAAAAATGAAAAGACACGTGGTCCATCGGGCCACCCCCCCAAAAAAAAATAATAAAAAATGGAAAGACACACCGCCATAATTTGCCATAATTTGGTCTTTTCTGCATGTGGTGAGCGGTGCGGGGAGGCCCTTCATATTCCTGCGTCACTACCTTTCGCCGTGCCATCGCTGACAAAGAGAGCCACTCAAGGAAGAGGTCAGGAGGACGATGCCGCCGTGGGCCCGCCGTGGCATCCCATGCTATGGCTGGCTCGGGAGTGACGCTCTCCGCCATAGCCGTTCCTCTGTCGTACAGGAGCAGGCTGGTCGTGCTGCGCTCCGTGCCGAGGGCTGAATGGACACAAAATTGTGAGTAGGTAGATATGGCCACATCTCTCCCGTCTACCTGGGTTACTTCTCTCTTCTTCTTCTCTCTTCTTCTTCTTCTTCTTCTTCTTTTCTTTTTTTTTTTGGATAAATACTTCGGAGCACTTTTATACGTAAATGTTTAGGGCATACACGACTTTCTCGGAACCGATTTTTTTTTTTTTTCTTTTTTTTGGGGGGGGGGCCGTGCAGGAAAGTAATACGGTAATGTTCCAAAAAAATGAACTTGTACTTGTGAAGAATCCGTCCACTCAGTCGTGCACAGGTATCATCATCTTTTTGTTTTCCTTTTGGGTGCTCAGTTACTCTGGCCTTGCAACTCTCCAAAAATGGCAGGAGGAGATGGCTGAGTGGTAATCAGCCGAGGGCTTGAGGGCATACTCGCACTAGCACTTTCCTAAACCTGTCTGAACGCAATTACGGCCAGACGTCGATAAACCTGGACTGCAATCACGTCCAGAGCTTTGCCGAAAAAGTCCCAGTCTGAGTGTGCCCAG